TTAGGTATTATGTTTCAACATATGAACAAGATAGGGCAAAAACATTTTTTCTGTAGCTCTGACTTAGGTTACCCCCACACCAAGTTTGGATTAGTCTGTGTGTTGCTAAAGAATAAAGAGGAAAAAGCATCTCTCCCTCCACATACTTGGCTTTCACCTTTTGGAAAATTGCAACATATTATTTCTGGTAAAATAGGAAAACTCCAGCCATCTGAAGGAAAAGTTACAAATATGCAAAGGTATTATATGTAGGAGATTTAAAAAGCGCCCATTAGATTAACTATAGCTTTAGAATGGTGACCCTGGTTTCAGTTTTGGGATTGTGGATGCCCTAGATCAGGGCTAGCATTGTGTTAGTAAATGCTGAACAGCTGCTTTTCTGAGAAAAAATAAACACCAACCCTGATTTGTAATGTTGGCAACTTGAAGCTACCAATCTGACATCACGAAATTCCTGAAAATTTGACAAATAACTCTTGATGAACTGTTGTGAACTGATTTCAGCACACTGAGGGTTGGATTTTTCAAATTCATTTCGCTACCTACAGTACATAATAAATATTGAAAAAGCTCTGAGCAATGTAAACATGCAATTTAGGGACATTGTACATTAAAAAACCCAGAAATGTTCTCTATGTTGCTACCAAAAACAGCACACACTTGCCAGTGCGGTTGTCTCTATTTTTAATGTTTAAGCATTTGGGTAATATATCTTTTTATGACATACCCCTCAAAGTTGAAGTGCAAAAGTTACTGGGAACATAGCAATTCATTATTAGCTTGCCTAAGGTAAAAATAACACCTATGAATAAACTTTCAGGGAAATTTAATGTGCCAAGAGCAGAGAAATCTCAAGGCTCATGGTCCTTGGTTTCTATTTTCTTAAAGCTTTACTTAAACAATTTATGTTTTAGCTACATTAGTGGATAATGTCATAAACATTTTTGACACATTAGTGCTTATCCAAGGAAGGCCTTCCTGATGCTTGGCTTATATGTTGAGATGAAAGGTGGCTGACAGGCAAGGCTTGTTAATTGCCAAATACTTAACTTCTGCATGATGAATTATGTTTATTTTATAAAGGGCAGTGTTTATCTCTGCATAAGTGAGTCACTTATGACTACTTTTTTATTTTAAAATAAAACCAACTCATATCCAGTTATCTCAAATTGATGCTCTATCCATATACTATGTAATAAAAGATAAGTGAAGAATAGTATGTATTTTGGCTGAAATTTTTTAGTGGTGTGAAGATAATGTGAGATTAGTGTAATGTGAGATAAACATAATTTTCAAAAGGTTTAGGTGACTTCAAAATATAATCTACTAAGTATTTACTTATGTTGCATATTTTCTATAGCTTCTGTAACAACTTACTATAATCTTAGTGACTTAACACAGGTTTGTTATCTCACAGATCTATAGGTCGTAAGTATGACATATATCTTACTGAGCCAAAGTCAAACTGCTTAAGGGGACATGCTCCTTTCGGGGCTCTAGGAAGAACCCATCTTGTTATCTTCTCTGTCCAGCTTCTAGAGGTGCCTACATTCCTTGGCTTATGATGCTCTCCCTACTTCTGTCTTCAAAGTCAGTGAGGACCTGTCTAGTCCTTCTCACAGCATACCACTCGGCTACTCTTCTGCCTCTCTTCCACTTTTAAGAACTTGAGTGGCTGGTATGGGGTCCACTAGTGTAACTTAGGATAATTTTGCTTTCTTAAAAGCAAACTGATGAGCAAATTTAATTTCATTCTGTAACCTTTAATTCCCTTTGCCCTGAATCCTAACATTTCCATAGGTTTTGGGAATTAGCATGTGGACATGGCTGAGGGAGGGGCTCTATTCTACGTAACACACAGCTGACTGACCAAGACAGCTGTACCCTTTACTTCTGCAGAAATGAAGCTTCAAAGCAGGTAAACAGTTTTCCCAGTATCTTCGGTGTCAGTGACTCTGAGTGAGGTGAAGATACCTGCACAGTGAGCTATAAACTGCCCCCCAATCTTTACTTTTCTCAATATCCAGTTCTGTTTTGACTGCCTCCTCATTTTTTTTCTCTTTTTACCTTTGAAAATGTCTTTTACTATTTATAGGACTGCACTTTTTGTCTTTTCTTTTTCAAGATGGTATACTGAAAATGCAAAAGACTCAAGAGTGATCAGGTAAGCGCCTCATAGCAACGTGAAAAGAAAAACATCATGGTGAAAAAAAAAAGTCTACCTTTTTAGCCAAACAGTCTTGTGTTTTTAAATATCTGCAGAATTTCATTATTACCAGGGAAATAAAAGTGTGCTAAGTTTCGATGCAGTTGAAAGCACAATTTGTCGGTGACTGGTTCAGCATCTATCCCCAAGATGTGCATGTGAGAATGACCACTTTGTGGAAGAGGAAACAGGGCTTAGATGAGCTGAATGCTTCCTATTTACCCATTGAGTTGCTCTGTGCTTTGACTCGGAGTTTCCTAGATCTATTTGGCTGCCTCTAGATTCAGATTTTTCTATGACTCTGTACCCTTTCCACACTATGCTGACAGAGTTTGTTATTTTTGAGGAATCTGGTGAAACATTCCATCTGTCTACCTTCTGGTTTTTGAGAAAGCCTTGATCCTAACTCTGATTTTTATTCTGACACAGTAAAAACCCAGAGAACTTCATTATTTGCTTAGTGCAGTGAGCTAGCAAGAAGACCTAAAATAGAACACAGTTCGAAATTTCCAGGAATAGGATAAAATGTTATCTTTATCACACAACTGCTTGCAAATCCAAGAAATCACACGATATCTCTTAAAGAAGAAAGACAAAAAATAGACTTTGAGAACAGTATAAGATGCTAAATGAATGAATAAGGATGCATTTGTTGTTACAAGGCGTCAGAAAGCCAACGGGGAATCCGGAGTAACCGTGCTTACAGTGCGCACGCCCTTTCTGCCCTGCTCTTCTGAAGCCAGCATTGCTACAGGGCTTGTGAATTCTTACTCTTGTCTAATTTTAAACCAAAATATTTCTTTATCTCCTTTAATGGTCAAAATCTTAGCCATAAACAAACAAAACTTAAGTACAATTTCTTTCAGGGTCTCTGTAGCATGAAAGAAATGCCTCTGAATTCTCAAATTTAGTTTTCTATACATGTTCGTGTATACTTGCAGTGTCTATATCACATGAAAAAGGCAGCTATTCTCATTACTTTTTATCTTCTAATGATCCTGGTGCAGTGTATCACATGCAGGTGGTACCTAACATTTGATCCTGTGAGAACGGCTCTGTCTCTTCACCAAAATCCATGCACTGGGTCTAAATGGCCTGAAACACCAAAGTGAATATCACCTTACATAACCTAACAAATGTAGGGAAATCATATTTTTTCCCTTTGATCAATATTTGTCCTGATTTTGTCCCCTTTCATATTGTCTCTTTTCACTTTTAGGTAACATTGTGAAAAATGATTTTTCAATACTAACATTTTCTCATCACAGAAAAGTTTAAAATTTAGACTCTTCCAAAAATTTTTGAAAATAGGAATCACCTATCACACAACCATCTATAGATAATTCTAATTAACTTTTGGCATATATTCTTTCAATTCATTTTCTGTGTGACAGTATTTTAATGAAATGGAAATGATAACACATATTTAACATTGTATATTTTTACTTAACAAACCTAAACATTTTCTAATATTTAGCTTTTTGAGATCCCCGTTTCTTTGACTGCCACAAAACTGCTACAGATATTTTAACATTACACTCAGATGCTGCATATCAAGGGACATAGAGCATTCGTAGCATGTGTGAAGGATTTATACCAAGGTATAGATAACTCAAGTACTTAAACCTGGTTGAGTCTTCCTGGATGCAGAGTAAACTTCTAAAATATACATAACTTGAAATGATCAGCTCTAAGATGATACAGTAAGTGCAATTATAGGAATGCAGTAAGATGTTAATATGTCTGATACCTGCAGAATTTTTAGTTTCTGAGTAGAAAGGAGGTCCTGGAGTATAAAAATTAGACATACTGGAAAGGCTTTCCAGCCTTTCTAGTCTTCCTAGCTGAGAGCTCATGATTACTTCTGGCAAGAAGTTTATTTTTCTGCCACACTTCTTTTATATTACTCAGATCTGTTTTGTCAAACAGAAAATAAGCACAACACTTTGTCTATCAGGTTGAAAACGACAAGAGTGTTCCTTACTATTTTAGAGAAAATGCACAGCACAAGGGAGCTGCAACTAAGTAAACAATGTTTAAAGAAAACTGACTCGAATGAAATAAAAGTGCCATTGGCAGCAGATATAACCTGATAAACCAACCGGCCAACTTCCTGAGCCCAGAGGCACTGCACTGCTTTATGCATGTTACCCGATTGTATCAGTGATTCCTTACGACATTTTGCAAACATTTTATTTATTTTTTGAAAAGAAATTTCATCAGAAAACTAGTTATCTTTGGAAGTGGGAGTGATGAAAACAAGAAAGTATTAGTGAAAGTTTGTCATTCATTTTTTCACAAAATTCATTTTGAAGTAGGCAGAAAATATAAGACTGTGTAGAGATAAAAGCTCTATCTAGTCTTAATATTTTTAAGATGTATGTGGACATATTTGTAAGGGTTTAAATGCAAAACAGGAGTTTGAAATAGAATGTACTAGGTATAAAAATGATAAATGGTTATTCTGTATTCTTGAAACTTGAATCTGATTTTAAAAATGTTGATTATGGTTCCTTGACAGAATAGAATCTTTTCTTCTTTCCAAACCCATAGATGTTTTTATTTTAAGGCTGGCCGTGGCAAGAAGGAAGATTTCCTTATCAAATGCGTAATATTAACGAGAGCACAGACCCAAACTGAAAAAATCTTGGTCCTTGTTCTTTGGGCTAAACTGTGGTCTAATGGAACTCAGGAATTTAATCGGGGATTTGAGATTATGTTCCTCAGGGGTTCTTAACAGGGACACAGGCTAAGGGGAAGGAAGCAATGAACACATTCTTTCTTGCAGTGAGAATGAGTTGAATCTAATTCACTTTTATTTGGGTGGCAGAAGCAGAGACCCAAAATAGCACACGAGTGCCCAAGGTCACCTTGCCAGTAGTAGAGGAGGGCTAGAACAAAGACATTTTCCAGGTTAACATCTGTTCCACCTGTACTTAGAAATCACACAGACAGTGAGGCATGGAGGTAGATTCCTTACTAACATGTGCTACATAGAGCTTCTTCCAATCTTTATTACTGAGTTGTATCAATTCCCAGTCCTGGTGTCTTGGCTGCCAAACACCAAACTCTTTCCTTGACTAGAACTCAGTAATTGTGGATATATATATATATATATATATATATATATATTCATATTCTAATGTGGCAATTCCACATGGTTAGGAGTGGTTGAGAGAGATCATAAGGCTCCATATGACTAAACAAGAGCACCAGTGTGGGAGGGAGAAAGAATTGATATTTTGACTTTTATCTATCTCTTGGCTCCAGAGAATTCTTACTTATACATACAGCAGGTATCCAAGCCCTGGACTGGGTCCTCCATAGAGATGCGAGTCTACTGTTTTAAAGAGTTAGCAGTAGGAATACTAATTTGCTTTTATAATCTATACTACTCCCTATTTCTGACTTTTCAGTAGTTTTGAGAAGATAGAAGTAAAATAACTCAGTGACAGCTGTTTTATTAATCACTAGGAGCTCCTATTACTTCAACTACAAATGTCACTGAAGTATATTTATTTTAGAGAAATATAGACATAAAATATACTTTGAATTACCCATAATGATGGAGATTGTGTTAAAAGGAGAAAAGATAAATATAGTCATGCTTAGCTGAAACTATATTTTCAATATTTGTAAAAAGTCTTGGAAAGATGTGGAGAAATAGCCCACTAAAGCTTCAAGGAAAAATATTAATATGTAGACATAGTTTGTAACTCATAGGTACATTATTTCTAAGGGTCTGAAACAGGAAATTTCTCAAGGTGCCAATAATAATAGGCTGTATGAATCACATTAAAATAACACAGCAGAGTATTATTCAGCAAGAAATAATGATCCCTAATGAATGTAACAATATAGTTGACTTTCACAAATGTAAGGCTGAAAGATCACACATGAAAGAATGTACGCTGACTGATTCTATTTATCTAAAGGACAAAGATAGGCAATTTAGTGTATGCTGTTAGAGATCCAGGTAGTTGTTTTTGGAGGACTGAAGTGAAGGGTGGGCTTCTAAGTCAATCTTCTGTTCTTTATAGGTGTTAGCTATAGGTTTTGAATGTTCTAAGGGAGTGATTTCAGTGACCTCTATACTTCTGCTGTATGCACTTTTTAAGAACATGAGAGGATGCCATATTTTAATAACATTTTTTAAAAAGGAAAATGGGAGTTTTTAAGAGGAAAAAAACCCCAACACCTAAATTGTGGATACAAATTGTCTTAGATTTTACCATTTGTTAGAAAAATTAAAGATTATGGAACTGTACCTTTTTTGTAACATATTCACCAGGTAGTGAAATGAGCTAAGCTAGCCAATAAGACAGGGAAAGAGAAGAAATAAAAGCTCAAGAGACGAATCCTTCTTACACACTAAATATACTCCCTTCCCAGAAATCCGTCTGACTCAGAATTTCAGAAGCAGGTCTACCAGAGGCCTCCCATTCCTTGTTAGAAATAAATGCACTTTCTAAAGCTGAATGTCTTGTACACAGGCTTAGTGAGTAAAGGGCTCAAACTTCAATTTATTATCAAAATATTTTCATCTGTGACAAACCTGAAAAGATAAGAGGTCACAGAGCTATATGCCACTTTGCCTTTATATAACAGTCACTGTTAAGGACAGATTGTAAACCGTAAAATTTACTCTACACAAGTGTTCAATGACAATTTTTACTCCAAAGTTTGTGCTTAAAGCTTTTCATCAATATGATTTATAAGTTTAAAAATATCTCAAATTTTCATCTGTACATCACTTTACAGATCTTAGTTCATGACAATATTTCTTGGTCTGAAACTTCAATACTTAATGATTACCTATAATTACAGTTATTTAGTTATAAGTGTAGTTAATAGTTAAATATAAAAATCATTTTTATACATTTCTAAAAATCCTTTAAAAAGACCAAGTTTTGAGAAACAGAGCAAGAATTGTTAGAAAATTGTAGGGGTCTTAATATCAGTGAAGCACTACAACACAAGTTTTAGGCGTTTGTTTTTGTCCTAATAGTGCCTAAAATAAAATGATGACAATAAACCGATGTGTGGCAAATGAGTTTAAAGCTATGTAAGCCTGAAGGCCCATTATGTATAAGAGTTCTTTGGAAGAGATTTGGAGGATAATAAATATTGCAAATACAAGTAAAAACAAGTATTTCTGGAATGTGTTTAAAATGATCATATAACCACTGTGATTTTGGTGCCCAACTGTATGAATGCAACATTTTCATTCATTCCTTGAATAGAAATCCTGGTCAACCACAAGTGGTTAACACTATTTTCTAGGGAAAACATCAAAGTGACAGACCATATGAGATAGAAATGAATTGAAACAATGTCCATGAGAATTAATGATTATTTACGAGAAGTGACTGATTTGACAGAATTTAGGTCCCCTCTTCTTTCCATACTCTTTGTAGAAAACCTAATTTCTCTTATATTATGGTGCTTTCATCTGTTATTTAGTCCATGGAACTGCCGTGACATCTGGGGCTCATTTTCTTTGGGTCAGAGAGTTCCCCATTTCCATAGTGTTGGCAAGTCCAGCCGAGGGATGTGCTGCCTCCTGAGAAGATCACCAAACCCGGCATTTCTTTTCTGGATTCATATATGCATTCTTTTGGCAATTAAAAGCTTCTGAAAACTCGGCAGAATTTTGCAAAGTCCCAATAATCCTTTGAAATAAACAGACAAAAAAAGGTTACCATAAGCATTTGATATGATGTCCATATTATGCTGAAGCCCTGAAAACTTTCTCAGTGCTGGCCAAGTGAGTGGATCTGGAATTTAACATTTAAAAGGAAGAAGAGAAGGCTGGGATAATGAGTCAATTTCTTTTCATCCACAGAATTTTAAAATAGAGAGTATCAAAGTACAGCAGTTGACAGCAGAGATTTTGGAGACAAACGGCATGGTTTGAAAGCTGATTATAAGGCTTCTCTGTACCTCAGTTTCTTCATCTATAAAATAAATATATGAATAGTGCCTGCTTTTAAGTGCCTGCTATTAATGGAGAATTAATAACTTACAAACACTTTATGTATGTTTTAAAAAATAATCAACAATTCACATTGGGAATTGCAGTTTTTGTAAAGAGTTTAGTCAAAGAATAAAATGATTTCTTGCTCATTTTAAAAAGACTCCCACAATAACTTAAGTGCAAGTGGTTTTTAATAGATATTTATTGATTTAATTTAGTACGGAAGTTACAGAAAATTTTTATTCTCAAAAGACTCCTTAAATATCAGAAATTGGATTCAGCCTGAGTAACTGGAAAGGACTGGAAAAGTGCCCATTTCTTCTTATCTCTGACCCCAGTGGGCAAAAACAACATCATCTAACTCACTATCAGCACAGTGCAGTGTTGGAGGGGAGAGACAGGTCAATATGGTGATGCAGAGGGGATGTGTTATGCCAAGCTGAGCCAGCTTTCCCCTGCTTCTCTTGCTGGGACCAGAGCCACACCCAGCTTGGGTTGAGATGAATGTCCTGGAGTCAATGGTACCAGAGTGACAGGAAGACCAGGAGCATGAGTTGGGAGTCCTCTCATTTTTAGAAACTGCGATGGGTACCATGGGTAGAACTCAGCGTTTGAGGTGAAGTGGTGTCAAAGCCAGGAATATTTTCCTGTTAGTTCACTTGAGGGGGACAGAATTAGCTTCCATAGGTCTGGACTGCAGCGAGACTGCTGTGTGAATGAAAAGTGCCAAACCCAGAGAGGACTGCATGTGCCTGTTGGTGAACTTGACAGGAGGAGCGGAGGCTCTGGAGACCTTGCCAAAGCCCACCAGAAGGAAACAGACATCAGACTCAGATGGAACCTCAGACTGTGAGGATCCAGTGTAAAGGAAAAGAGGTTTAGTTTGGCTCATGTTTTCTTTAAAGTTGCCGTTCATAGTCTTCTTCAAGGCAGAAATAACAAGATGGAAGGGTGGAGGTGGAGGAAGGCTGTTCACCTACGATGGACAGGAAGTAGAGAGAGACGGAAGGAGCTGGTGAAGGAGACGTACCCCTCCAGGTCTCTTAACAACAAAAAGCTACGAACTCATCAGTGTGTTAATTCGCTGATGAGTGCAGTGTGAACACAAGCCAGTAACCTTCCAAACACCCCAAGTTTTGGGGGAAGATTCCTATGTAACCCTAGAAAGTACTAGAGGACATTGGAAAACTACTGAAAAGTAACTTCTTACCTTCTAGCTTAGGCTATGAGCTTGGAGCCTGGCTTAATTTGATTTGATTAAGTGTCCATTTCCTGTATCTGAAATGTTCAAGAACAAGTTTATCCTTTGATCATGTGAAGACATAGAAATATGTAGTTTTTACCTGGGAAGATAGTGCTCATCAGAACCTATCTATGCCAGGGCCTTCATCTTGGACTACTATATCCATATCTGTGTGAAACACATTTCTGTTATTCATGGGCCAGAGAAACCAGTGTTACTCCTATAAATGTAGCCAAAATGACTGTATACATAGGAATCAAAACACATTAGTAATTTTTATTGGGCTTTAGTGTCTTAGGTTCTAGGTTTAAGACACTAAAACAGAAAGATTTTTTGATTCATTTCCACCAATCTTCATCCCAATTCAGGAAGTATCTATCTGTCCCCAGCTACATACTGGTTCGGGACAGTCATCATGGTGGCTTGGACATTCCTCGTCCTAGGGAACAAGTTCCCTGCTTTATAGTTTATTAAAATTTTATTAAAAGATTGTCTTTGACTTAGTTATATGAGAGCAAATATTTTGTGCCCAAACTCATAACTTAATTTTACAGTTCTCTTAAATTGAAAACAAAATGAATAGACCAAAAAAAAAAGTTTCTGGAAAACATCACTGGAAATTATGGACACGGAAACCCTCAGCCTAATATACACTCAGCTATCCATCTCTATTGTATCTCATTTCCATCCAAAGACTTCACTTAGATAATGTGATTCTGAATAATTAGGTCAACAGCACACTAGGGCTTCGCTTACTTTCCTAGGTTTCCAGTTAATGTTTGACGTTAATAACATTAAAGCTTTGGATGGTGATACCAATAGTCATTTGAAAGTGGATACATTATTTATACAATGAATCCCTTCTCAAAAAATGAGATAATGTTTCATTAATATTACATACAATGCTGCATGAATTTCAAAACTTTGTAACTCTTTCATTTGCAAGTTTAATAACAAAATTAAATATTTTCACTATTTCTTAAGGTGATTTACTTGAAAATTTTACTTCAATATATAAAATCATGCGTTATGCCGCTGCTGTTTATTTCCTTAAATAATGAATTGCATTAAAAACACTTAAAAGATGAAACTGAACATGCACTGGCCAAGAACAAATATTTTGACCTCTGAAATATTTGATTATTTCTGTCTACAAGTAAATGGTTATTTGAATTAGTGAATAAACTTTTTGTAATTAATAGATCCTCTGACAGCTTACTACTTCTTTAAAGCAAATGGCACGACTACAAAATTTAACTGGCTTCATCCATGAATAAATCACTAATTTTTATCATTAACTAAATCATGATTCTTTCAGAGCAGTCACATTAATGAGTATGTGCTCATCATATCGTCTTAAAGAGATTAGGGCTGGCAGTGTAGCTCAGTGGTAGGGCACTTGTCTAGTATGTGGAGGTCCAGGCTTAATACCCAGTTATGGAAGGCACAAGTGAGGCTGGGAGATGTGGCTCTGTGGTAGTCCACGTGCCTAGCATTTGCCTCGCATGTGAAAGTCCCTAGATTTGACACTCACCACCATGGAAAAGGGGAAAAAAAAAAAAAAGGTGAGAGAGGTATTTAGGTAAATAAGAAGCTAACAAGAATTTAAAAAGTTCACCAAAATATCAGGCATCAGTGTTAATATTTAAGGAAAGCAGAGAAAACATGAAAAGTTAGCTTAATCAAGCTTTGTTATTATAAGAAACATGATAGTTGTCTACTTTGTTGGGAGATATTTATATAAAATACAATAAAGAATATTCTTTTAAAGATACTGAAAATTAAGCTGGGAAAAGCATTATTTGACAAGTTAGTGGTGTTAGTTTTTCTCTTCTTTGAGACAGCAACTCAGATTTTATTTTTAATTTTTTTCCAGCTTTTATTTTTTTATTAGTACATATTTCTAGTACATACCAGTCACACTTCTCATGGGAAGCTGGAACATGTACATAACACATCTTAATTCTTTTTTTTTTTTTTTTTTTTTTTTTTTTGGACCTGGAATTGAACTCAGGATCCCACACTTGCCAGGCAGGCACTATGCCACTGAGCTGTATCCTGGGGTCTACAATTTAATTCTTTTTATCCAAGCCTTCCCTCTCCTTTTCTCCACCTCCCTTTATCTTTTGGGCCCTTTCCTAAAGGATCTCTCTCCGTCTTTGCTATTATCTGCTTTTTACTTTGCTCTTTATTTATATTTTGGGTTTCTAGCAAGTGCTTTCCCTCCCACGTGTGAAGGGTAATCCTGGGCAACAGAACCATTTAAATAACTTTTGCTTACTTTAACTTGCTTTAAAAAATCATCAAACATGCATATAATGTAGAATTACATCTAAATAATTTCAGAAACACATTTCCTGATTACAGAGTGTTATTATGTGATCATAATAAAACTAAAAAGTAGGTTTCCAAAAAGAAAGCAATGTTTAAATTACAGATTTAATATTCATGAGAATATTCATGGGAAAATGTTTTGTGTTTTTTACTCTTGGAGGTTTTAAGGGCTTATATTAAAATAGGTAAGGTTTTTGTTAGGAAGAATGAAATAATCATAGGGAATGCATTTTAAACTCTTAAAATTTATAGCTTTATAGTTTTCATCTTTACATCAAGTATATTTTGGTTTTTGTTTTTAATATTATTGCTATTTAAGTGTATCATTACAAGTCTCTTTCTGCTTTGGAAATATTTTATATATATACCCCTAAGCACAATTTTTGCTTGGTGAATGTCTATTAGTTTTTTAAGTTCCTTAAAAACTGTTTCACTTTGTATAGCCAGGAAATAGCCTGTTTCCAAAACTAAATGTAACCTTAGCCTTTTGCCAAGGAAATTGTTTTACCTCCAGGGAAAATAATAATTTCCTTAACAAAAGGTTGGCATTCATTCACCCTTAAACAAACACACACACACACACACACACACACACACACACACACACACTTCTGCTATTATCAATGAAAAATAGTCAAAGAGTTATCTTTAGAGTCAGAACCAAAAAAATTTTAAAACATAAATAATCTCATATATTTATAATCTGTATTGTTTTCAGTTCAGATCTGAGGGTAGAAAACAGTTACATGTTTACCTGTGCATCACTAACCACTAATCAATTATTGGTATCATGAATCATGGTGAATACATGAAATGAACAAGAAAAAGCACTTGAGTTTTAGGTGATATGGAAATACTTTAAAGTCTATAACTCTTTTCCACAAAGATTTTTATTTTGCTCAGTCTGCTGATCTAGAAATAATCTTAGTACTATTTTCAAAAGTGTATTTCTAATAGGGACTTCACATGCATTAGTATTAATCCTCCAGCAACTCTCACAATAATTTAATTAGCATTTTATATATCAAGAAACTGAGGCACAGAGGTTAAATTATATTTAGTATCAGGGAAGAAATAAACTTACAAGAAACTCCCCAAAAAGTCAGAAAACAGCATCCCCACTGGTATGAGAATAAACAGTTATACATACAATAACTTTATAAGATTTCACTAAATTAATAAACACCAGCATCATTAATAGTCAAAATAATAGCCTGTCACATCAAAAAATTTAAGTATGATTCAAGATACCATGTTCAGAAAGTAGGGAATGCATTTTAAACAAAGAAATTTGTAATACATACTAGCAGAACTAAATGTAGTTTATATTATGCAGAGAGCAGGTCTACAATAAACAGTTTTCAGATGAATAACTTTTCTTTCTTTCTTTCTTTTTTTTTGTAGTATTGAACCCAGAGCCTTCGTGTTGAGCTACATGTCCAGTCCTTTTATCCTTCATTTTGAGACAGTATCTTGCCAAGTTGCATCAGACTCTCAAATGCTAATCAGACTACAAAAGGCCAAATTCCAAATGTGGAAGCAGTGGAGTTAATCCTAAAGCACCCTGGTTCATAACAACGTACCTGAAATTGCCCGGACTGTGCACATCTGTTTTAATGGAGTTGACGGCATACTCTGGTCTGTAGATCCCACACCACACCTAGAGACAGGTTCGGGAGAAGCACAGCAGTGTGTTCAGCTCTAGTCAGGGTAATTTAGGATGGTTGGGGGCAAGTAGAATTAAATTCCACAGCCATTGTTCTTCAAATAATGTTCAATGAAAGGCATTAGGAACATAATTATTTATCATGAATACGATCTGACATTGTGATAAACAATGAAAGTCACTCAAGTCAAATGTTCTGGCACAACTGATTAAAACAAGAAAACAGCACATAATACCTAACTTACAGTGAAGTTATAATTCAAAATGATTTTCAGGTTTATCAATCAAGAAGGATGTAGTACCTGGGCAAAGTTCAAGAAGAATAGTTGTTTGTGATTTAGGTCAAGTCCAGGAAGTAACTTTTCTTCACCATTCTTTTTAATATAATTCTGATAGGCCTAGGAAGTTAGTAAAATACATATACAATGTTTATAATTTTTAAATTTATATAAAAACCTACACAGAAGAACATGTTAACTAAGTAATCTTTTATACCAAAATCACCATAATAATGCATTTAGATAATGGCAACCTACAACTATTCTCTGAATTAGGAATAAAATTAATATTTACAAATGCTCTAAAAGAACACGATTTTGATTAGTGAGTAACAAGAGTCTGGCATATTGTCAAATGGTCAATAAATGTCAGTTGAATGAATGAATGTCTTACAAAAGTGATGAAAACCTTATGTAAACATTGTTCTAAAGATAGACTGAACCAGCCAGCTGGAGAAAGAGATGGCCAAGGAAATCATCTGCAATTGCTATATTTAGCACAGTTACTACTGTTACCAAAATAGACTCAAACCAGACTTGGTTTGAATGACTGTTGCCAAAAGTCAAGTGATTCTCTTGGGATCCCTTAGGGACTTTGGTAGTAGTCTACGAATCTAAGGTAAGGATAAGCAACTAAGAATAGTTGCTTATCTATTCTGGTCCTCTAAAGTTAGACCAAAGTAAATAGAATCTTATTTACATTAGAAGAAAGGAATTTAGATAACTTGATGTCAGAAAAATGTTCTCAATCCTATAGGATTTCTGGGTATTACTGAATAAAATCTAGTTGTGCATTACTAAACCTATTTAAGAAAGGGACCAACAAACTTTCTCTACCGTGTTACTTTTAATTTCTTACAGAGAAAAGTGGTCAATTGGGTAAGCAGTAAGTACATTTCTTTTCTTTCTACTTAGCATCCACAGAATTTTATTGAGCATGTTACTGTATAAAGATTCTGTAAATACAACGAAAGCTTACACTGGCTCCTTCTTAGAGAGTTCATAGCCTAGCAAAAGGACAAAGAATTACATGTAAAGAATTCATGTTGTTTCAAAGTGTAATATAATATTTACACAACTGTAATTGCTTCATTATTGTAATTATGTGTTAGCTCTAGATGAGGATCTTTATGGACATACCATCAACCCAAAGTGGAACATTTCTGAGCAGTAATTCCTGATTTTTCAGTATATCAGAATCACAAAGAGACTAGGGAGGGTGTTAATGCTGCCACTTCCAGACAAGACAGAGTGACAGAGAAGGATTTACCCTTCTGTGGAAATCATAAAAGGATGGACAAAATATATGAAACAATGCTTTTCCTAACATTGGGCATCAAACAGAAAGAAAACCATCCCTGAGAGATGGTAATTAAACAAAGCAAACCCCATGATTGCTGGAGCTTACTGTCCTTGAATTTTCAGGTGAAAATGTAAGGAAGGAACAGTGCAAGCCCTCTGAGAAGGTGATGGCTCAGGGACACTAGAGATAGAGGGGAAATTCTCAAAGACAGAGAACCTCAGTGATTACAGCTGAATAATCAGTATTCATGTTAGTATTAGGAGTGTGAGTAAACTATTCAAGGCGAGGGAAAGACTCCCCCAAAAGATCAAAGAGAACAGGGTTGGAGCTTACACGGGACAAGGATGGAAAGTGTCCAGCTTCACACCTTAGAGTTCTGCCTCAGGAGTGGGCTAATAGTCCCTACACTGAGAACTACTCCAATGCCACGTGACATGCTGCAAAAACCAAGAGTCAAAAGATCAAGCTATTTCTAAGGCATTTAACTGAGAATGAAGCTCAAGAATATTTGTACAAAAATAACCATTCAGGACACAAAGAGACAAAATGCACAATGTCTACCATCTACTTAAAAAAGGAATCTTAGCATTCAAAATAGTGGCAGTTGACCATCTCCCAGGACCGGGTTGGGATTCATGCTTTTAGAAACTTTTAGATGCTTTAATCTCTCAGGCATCAAATGCTCATCAATTTTGCTTCCTGTCCCATCTGTCATCTCTCTGTATGATTCCAATGCTTCTTCTCTGATACAGTCACCAGTGTGCTCCTTCTTGCTTTTAATTCAACATTTCTGTGGTGAACGAATCACACCATATCCTCACACACTCCACGAACATTCTTTGAGACATCTGGTTCTATCCCAGGGGCACCTCGTTCCTTTTATATCCTCAGGTAGTTTCTGGTCATTCTTCTCTCACATGTGAGCTACTTCATGGTTGAGAGAAGCAACCCAATCTGATCTTCATTGCTACTTGTTACTTCAAGAGTTTCCTCTATGCTTATAAATCCCTGTTTTCTCTTGTTCATCTGGTATTCACTAGACATTTTACATTTGCTTATTTTTATTAGTACTTTAATGTTTGCAGTCTACAATGGTTACATTCCTTGTGTGGAGGTGGCACATGTGCATAACTGATCTTAATTCCTTTTCTATCCCTTTTCCCTCCCTACTTTTTCCTCTCTCTCCATCTCTTGAACCCCTTTCCATTTGAGAAAGATCTATCTTCCTATTTTCTATTATCTGTCTTTCATTTTTCTCTCTACTTATAACTTGGGTTTCTCATATAAAAGAAATCATGTGATAGTTAAGCTTGTATGTCTGGTTTAATTTACTTAATATTGTGGTCTCAAAATACAAGCATTTTTGTACAAATGACTCAAATTTATCTTTCCTTATGGCAGAATGGTACTCCATTGCGGGTAAACACAGTTAATTCTTACTCAGATCATCAAATAAGGACATCTTTAATGAAAACTTTGTTCTTTTATCTGCAGCAACAGGAATAGTTAAACTCATAGCAGAGCTCTCACACGCACAAAAATTTGCTGAATGTAAGGATGAGTGCAAGAGCAAATGAGATTCTAAGGCATGCTCCGCTGGTGACACTTCTGTGAGTGTGCTATCTGGGCGAAGGACAAAGCCACGTCACTTCCAGATCATAACTATATCATGGTGACAGAGTATGGTTTAATACGCTAAACTTGTGGTTTATACTGTCCCCCCAAAACTACCTCTCCTGTGGGGGAACTAAACTGAGGGTCCTGTTCATTATACTGACCAAAAACCTCCTTTCATGGGACATGTTTTCGAATAAATTGAGTTCAGTGATTCTTTCTTTCCTTTTTCCTTTTATTTCCTGGCTCTCCCTACCAAAGTGTCACTAAGTTACTAAATTACCCTCACTAGACTGAACTTGGATGAAATAGATTCTCCTGCTTCAGTTTCCCAGAGGTTGAGATTGCATGCACACACTACAGGACTTGTATATATCCTCATTTCTGTTGATATAATATTCATGTTTCCTCTTCTTGGCTTCTTTTAAAACTTAAAGAGAATGGTATTTGCTCTCTCAACTATGTTAAGCCTATGGTTACATATTTACAATGTAATTTCCTCTTCACTTTTAATTTTCTATTCCAATTTACTGCAAATATTACTAAAATGTCCTTTTTAAAAAGTATTTAAATGAATGATTAAGTATAATAATCTGATTACTAAAATGGAAAGAAAATTACTCACTCTATATGCTTGGCCAAGGCCACCATTATCGGCAATGTTTTCTCCCAATGTATTAATTCCATTGAGCTGTTAGAAAAAGACCTTCATTAGATTGTTGAAAACATCAGCAGTGAACTTATAATTGAACACGTCTACAACTTTTCCAGAAACGGCCAGTGACATACATGCTGTCCACCTGCTAGGTCCCAGGTGAAATTCCCATACTGGTACACCATGCACTGGGATTGGTCCTTGAAGTTATTTGCAGACTGTTGAGTCCACCAGTCAACCAGGTCTCCATCCTTGTTAAAATTTCTGCCTACGATATATTTATTTAAGTAAAATGGAAACTCATTACAACAAGAATCACAGATATCTTTCACTAAGGTACAAAGACTAAGATACTGCTAACCTGGAAGAACATTAAATTGGACAGGTGATGAGAGAAACTGGTATCATCTAACCACTGGGAGAGACTGAACTGCCAAAGCCGCCTTTGCTGATACATCCTTAGTATTGATTTAGATATTACAGGCACTTGGTTCTAAGTATCTTCAATGAAGCCACCAGATAAGACAATCGTGAAATTATACCTCATTCTGTTGGATGGTTTTATCTGAATAATTTGTATTCTGGGACTTGACAAGGTCAACAGTTTTATACTGAATCTCATTTTGTATTTCTAGGCCCTTGATGAGACACCAGGATCATAGCTTCCCTTTATTTCCGTCACACACACACACACACACACACACACACACACACACACAAACACACACGTGTGTGTGCACAGACATAAAGTTTCTTTTTTCTCTAGGAGCTTTGGAGCTTTGTTGGTAAACTACATACATCTTCCCACATTGAGATGTGGTTGCAGAGGTATGTCAACAAGTGAAAAAGGTGAGAAAGGAGATCAAGAAAATAAAATAATATGTGATGATTTTTTAAATATTACCTATGATGCCGTAAATAGAAAAGGGCTAGGAAGCCAAACTGCTTGAACTCACATGCAGATTCCATCAGTTCCCAGTGCATAAACATTTTATGTGCCTATATTTGTTCCCATTTGAAAATGGAAATATTGCTAGTACCTATCTGTTAAGAATGTTCTATCATTTAACTGATGTAATAGGCATGTGGAAAAAATTGTACCTTCCTGTTGTCCCTTTATTTCTCTGGCTTTTTAAAATTGGTTATAATCAATGTTTATTTTCTTGATCTCTTTTCTCTTTACTTGTGGACAAAATTTTTATTATAGATTCAACTATTACCTCTTAATTCATTTATTTTTGCTACTGAGGATCGAACTCATGACCTTGCACTTGCCAGAGAACTGAGGGTCCTGTTCATTATACTGCTTATTCTGCTGAGCTAAATCCCCAGCTATCACCTCTTTATAAACCTCATGGCTTTACTTCTATTCCTCTCAGTTTCATCTGAATCTTAAAATTTTCTTAATAGCGTAATTTTCTTAAGGTGAATATGTGTTTTATTCATAGAATACAAGTACACATCACTTAAATATTAATTAAGATTTTTTTTTCTTAAGCAACAGTTTAAACAAATCACAAAGTGTAGTAAAGTTAGGCCTACAGTCCACTCGTGAAAAAGTGAAGTTAAAATACGTTTCAATAAAAAAAAAATACGTTTCAATCAGATTGGTGAGGATATATAACAAAAGGAAAATATCAATTGCACTTTACCATTGTCATCGAAGCCGTGAGTTATTTCGTGTCCTATGACCATGCCAATTCCCCCATAATTTAGAGAGTTTGACTGCTGGGCACTAAAGAAAGGGGGCTGCAGAATGCCAGCTGGGAAGACTACAAGGAGAGAAGATGGTTACAGGTTGTTTGTGGCATTATTCCATGATGGAAGGACTAGAGTTGGCTTCTTCCTTATGAAGCTATTTTCCATTATGTTAGTTTCACTTAGGTCTATATAAAAAATCTTTTATGACAGAAACAAATGAAAAGGTTTTATTATTAATCAAGTAAATTATTATAATGGAATGGCATCATAATCTGTGATTTATTCATCACAGTTCACTTTGCAATATCTTTTAAGATTGTTTTCTGCTGTAAAGAGTTTAGGGCAACAAAAAGTTATAATATACATTCAGAAGGTCCTTTCCCCCTTGAAAATAACTTGGAAGGAATAATATTTCTTGTAATGTCATCTCTAAAAGTTTATTCATCTACAATAGCATCTTTTTTTTTTTTTTTTTTTTTTTTTTTTTTTTGTCTTTTTGAGACAGGGTCTTGCTATGCACTTCAGGTTGACCTTGGGCTCATTTTGTAGCCCATTCTGGTTTTAAACTTGCAAGGATCCTCTTACCTCAGCCTCCTGAGTGCTGGGATTATAGGGGTGTGCTACTATGCCTGGTTATAATAGCATTTTAAGTAAACAGAGCCACTAATTCAAAGATATCTCCTTGTCAGACAACTTTATTTTCATTGAGCATATATGATCACTTATAATCATTTTATTTCTTTATGATTTAATTCCTTCCTTTTCCTATTGCCCTACTCCCACTCTAGCACTTCAAATATTAGTTCTTTAAGAGTAGAAATTTGCATATATGTGCATTCATTTGCTTGTTTGTTTTACTGGTCTAATTTTTTTTTTTTTTTTTTTTTTTAGTTCATTAGCTCTAAAATCTAAAATCAGAGTAGTACCTGGGACATAATCAGTGTTCAGGAAATGCGTTTATTCAACAAATAATAATGATACACTAATTAATAGTAATCTTAATTTACTGTGTCATAACAAGTTTAGTAAACACATGAACAAATTGTCATTTTTATTGTGTCTACCCTGACATTTGCAATAATTTGTCAACTTTCTCCATTTTTAGGTCTCATAAACACCTCAATGTCTCACACATCAAACTGATTGCCCTCTAAATTATCACTTTCTTGATTTTACTATTTCTGCTAATAGCACTTTAAGGGTCCCCACTACCCATAGTGAACTTTTTTATTATTTCAGATGTTCTGTCTCTTGTACAGTCCTTTGTGGTCTACTGAGGCCAAGCCTGGCTGACACACCTTTGTTCCAAAAGCACTCTTCATTTAAGTTCTCATGCTCATCCCTCACTTCAAAAATTATTTGCTTATTGTTCTTCCACCTCTTGTCTTTCCAAACTATAATTTATCCTAAATTACATCTATCCTGTTAATACATTCTGTAGCCAGGTTAAAGTTTAACCAATCATTGCCACTCTCTTACTAAGACACTCTGGATGGATTACCCTTGCTTTCCAGCTAAGTGCATCTTCTTTCTGGCCTTTGTCTCCATCGTCCTTTCCTGCTGCTCCATGGCCCTCCTCTCCCTGCCCTTCTCCTTATCCTCTTACAAGAAACACTGCAGCCCAACTATACCTTCACTATTTGTGAAATATATTAATAATGTGCCTTTATTCTCTTCCCTAGAAATATAGTCCTGTTGTTTAATAAATATTGTTTTGGGACAATGTTGTTTATAGCTGATTAATCTTTGCACTTATAAATGAATTAAAATTATGGTTATGTTTAAGAACTTTTATGTTTCATGTTTTAAAGCTCTAATACCCAGCAAATAACAAAAACATTATGGTCTTTAATTGGGAAAAAAACCCCTAAAGTTCGATCTTTGGGATATCAAGACTGTAAGACAAGGTCCCTGATTATAAGAAACTTAAGATCTGATTAACACACACAAACAAATGTTATTTGCCTTTTAGATAAACTAAATATAAACCAACTTTATGTGGATGTCAGGAATATCAGATGTTTGCAGTGGAAAAACACTATGAACAATTTAATTGCTCCTCAGCCATTTAAAAAATTGGAAACTTGCCATAACATTTAAATGACAAAATAATAAAAAAAAAACTTTTGTCCTTGGAGAATTGTAATAAAAGTTATACCTCACGTGTAACTGCCTGAGCTAAACAGTGCCAAGAAATTATTTTTAGCTTAAAAGATAAAAATTATGTGAAGCACTTTATTAACTTAAAATGAACACTATCTCCCACACTATGTACTTTGTTTAAAACTCACCCATTATGTAAAATGCTCTTATGAAACGTGCTATCAAGACTAAACAACTATCAAGATCCTGTTGATTTAATTATGCCTTCACATGCCATTTTTCAAGCAAATGATAAGATTTTTTATGGCTCATATTAGATACTAGTCTTCAAGTTTAACATTGAAAATGGTGATCTATCTGATCTATCCTTTACATTGTCAGCTAAATTTCGGTAATGAAGATTTTCCCCATCAGCCTTATTGGTGCTACAAGTAAATCTCACAGTTGTTTATAACCAACTGCTTAGTAGTGTGTTTTTTATGTTCATGAACACCAAAAAGTTAATTAAGCAAATCATTAGTCCATGAAGCAAATGTTTGTAGTTCTTCTTTGTCATCTACTTTTTCAACCTTGATCCCTAGTTCGTTTTTTAAGGTTGTACTCAGTTCAACTTTAGCATATTTCATGTGATAGTCAAGTGTGCAACCAGGAAAAAAATTTCTGGAAAATAAAACATTTTCTTTGTATTAAGTAGCAAAATATTTAGAAACATTCACTAACTTTCTCACTCTTAACTCCTAAGAATGAAGAAAGCATTTGAGAATATGTAACTATCTCTAAGTATTCACAAACTATCCAGGTTGAATACACTGGAATGACTCAGACATCTCAGAAATTGAAAAAAATTGCTTTGAGAGTCTTACTACAAATTTAATGAAAAAAGCAGAACACAGAAGTGTTAGGATTTTTTCTATTTGACCTGAAGATTCTTTCAGATTTAATAAGATGATCAAACTGATGGCAAAACATTTGACAAAACAGTCTAGTACAGTTTTCCTAATAACATAGCTATGTCATTAGGAAATAAGTATTCAAGGGAGACGGATATTGAATTAAATTATCTTAGTATGCCTTCTTGTGCTAAAATTGAGTTTTTTGTCAATATAAAGTGGTAGAGGTGCATACAGATTTGAAAGTGGTTCATATGAAGACTTCTGACTGAAGATGGTGATTCAATTAAGAGTCGAAATGACTGACAGGAGTAGCTCAATAATAGGAAAATAAGCTTTTTAAATGTAGCAACATAAAATGAACAGCCTCATGAGAAACTGCATCCAATCTAATGTGAGGTGTTTCATATATCTGTGTCTTTATGTGACACATGTTTCTTTATTAACTCAAATTTCATAATGGGCCTCATACCAAACCTCGTAAGATAATGTCGCTGACAAATATATATTCATGTACTGGATCTCATTTTCTATTTCTAGGCCCTTCATGAGATACTGGATGATAGCTTCCCTTTATTTCCAAGATACACATGCACACACACAAATACACGTGTGCACGTAAGACATAAACACACATATTTCTATCAAGGAGAAAGATGATCTGAATACGTGGTTAGTTTTAGTTAAGACAAACCCCACTTTGAATATTGAAATAGTTCTCAAAGAAACAAAGTGCACATTTCAGAAACTTGTCTTGCATAACATTTACCCTCCTCTGAACTGCTGTTATCAGCAGACAAACACAAAAGAGGTTAGCAAGCTTTTTATTTCATATTTTCATCTGCTGAGTTTACCTTAAAATGTGTTTCTTATATATTAAGAATGTGAATTATTGCCAATTCTTGATTCAGAATGTAACTGTCCATTTTGTTAAGTGGTAGACCATTTTTACTATTTTCTGTATTTAAGGACAAAGTTTTTGTTTTTTTTTTTTTTGGTACCAAGGATCGAACTCATGACCTCGTGCTTGCCAGGCAGGCACTTTTACCACTGAGTTTAATCCCTGGCCCTGTTTTCTGTATTTAAATTCAAATGAGAACATTTCTAGCTCCTCTTTGATCAGAAAATCTCTTATGTGAATCAATTCTGAACCTCCAAGGACTTGTCACAATTAAGAATCATGCAAGTTCCTGTCCTGTGTATGTTTTACTGAAGATCAAACCCAGAGGAGCTTTAACACTAATGCAGTCCTCTTGTCTGTCAGTCTGTCTATCTACCTATAATTCTTGAGACAGTGTCTTGCTAGTTGTCCATGTAGGATATGAACTTGCAGCTCTCTAAAATCAAGGCTCCCAAAACGCAGGAATTACAGGTATGTACTCCCAGGCTGCGGTGCATGCTCCTGTTTTTAGAGTCCCTGGGGAAGGGCTGAAGATAGGAACATGCTATACTGGTCCATAAAAATCTCCCTGCCCCTTTTCATTGAGGATGAATTAGCACTGTCTGACAGGATCCAGGGTCCTCCCTGAGTTGGACTAAAATGAAGGTACATTCTTAGTCTTTCCTGATATAAAAATAAGGGACTATTCCCCTACTTTGCTCAGGGACTACACTCATGTTTAGTTATGATGACTGGGTTTCAGAATAGAATGAACTGGATTTTATAATTACAGAATTACTGAACATTAAACGAAGGTCTCGAAGGGCTGAGGTTATGTCTCAGAGATAGAATGTGTGGTTAGCATGCATCAAGCTTTGAGTTCAATTCCCAGAATCATTTTTTTTTTAAAGAGAGATCTTCAAAGTGAAGATATTCCAAACACAAAAGCATTTCTAAGGAAAAAAGTGTCATTGTTTTCTGGAAATACATAACATGGAACTGATGTCTGAGTTTTGAAAAGGTGATCATTAAGCAGATTTTGTCTGAGTTTAGATATTCTCTGTCTGGAAAATGTGTTAGCTTAGACTTTGAGCTGACTGATTTTAATGTAGGTGTACATCTCTTACTTATGTGATATAAAGGTAACATTTTTGATTACTCTACATAATTCATTTTCCTGTCATGTATATCAAAGTAAATTCTGGATTTATGAAAATTTTACTCCAAAAAATGGAAACCATGAAAATATTAGAAGAAAATGTAAACAACTTCTTAATACATCTCTTTTTAGGCTTAAAAGCAAAGAAGAAAGGGCAAGCTTTAAAATAAAAATATACATAAAAGTTTGTTTTTTAATCAATGATAAATATCCTGAAAGAATTTCATAATTTCTAGGCAAACTAATGACAGAATTTTAAAAAAGATGAGACCCTGAGATAAAAATGAGCCATTTAATCTACCATCCCTCTTGATTCTGGACCACACTTAAAAATAAAGTGGAGACTGAGCGCTGGTGGGATTCTGTCTACTGTACATTCAGCATACCTCTGGCAGTACTGAATCAGTGGGATATTGTTATTGACCAAAAATCCTTTGAAAATAGAGGTTTGATATATAACAAAAGTGAGTTTAAAGATACCCACACCTAATCCATAAAAGAAATACATAAATCTTTGTCATAAGAAGTAATTCAGTTACTCCTTTTATCACTTATATATTGATCTTATGTATATCTCTGAGATGTCATTGTTAGTGAATGTACATTCTTGCTTTTTAAATCCAGACTGATTAAGTAAATATAATTTCTCACAATTTAACCTAATGCAATTGAGTTTTTAAATTTCTGAATTCCGTGGTGGGATTTTGGGTTGAAGATGTTATAAAATGGGACCGCTCTATCAGTCTGCATACATAACTACCAGGAGATTTGGATTTACAAAACTTTGGCTCTTAGAAGCTTGAACCACTTTAAAATGCTGATGCTTAATGAGTCTGAAAGTAATAGTATTTCACAGAAATATATGAAAAAAGACTTTTAAAAGTAATTAGAAATAAACTACGTAGAAATAAGATGAACCATTTTCACTATAAATGAGAATGTTGTAAAAGAAACAAAACTATCTAATACAATTTGTGCTAATTAAAATATTCCCACTATAGTAAAAACATGTACAAGATGTATATTTAATAAGTCAGTAACACAGCCTCAGCTCAAGTTTTGTTTGCTATTATAATATATATAAATTATATATATATATATATATATATATATATATATATATATTGGTCATACTATACATTATGTGTTGGGAACAATAGAGAAATATTAGAGAATTATTTAATCAATATAGCTTACCTATCTGATTTCTGCCTGAAGAATAAAATGCATTAACTACAGCCGCTCCACTTATCCACCTAGGAGAAGCATAAAACCATATTAAAAAAATACATCATTTGATTTAATCAAAGTATTACTATTCCTACGTGGATGTTAACTTTTCATTTGAAACATGGTTAACAAATTAAAAATAGCTTACTGGTGAAAGGTCATCTAAAATTATTTCCATTTTTTGAAAACTGAATATATATATTGGTCCAAAATTTGTTATTTCATTTGCATTAGTTTTATAGAGGCATCTTACAATGCAAAACTTATAATAGTCAATCTCTTCAGAAACTGTAATGAGTTAAGACCATATTAAAATGTGTTTTGCTTTATGTTCTTAACTAAATAACTATATCAATAATTCTGGAGCAGTTGACAAAATATTAAAAAGACTGTCATTAAAGCTTCACTTTCAAGTATCTTTAAAAACTTTGTATTTTCTAGTTTACAGAGTGTCATCTTTGGGTAAAAAATATAACTCAGGCAAGTATCCTGGAGCAACATGCCTTTAATTGTTACTTTGTAAAACTATTTTTTAAAAATGCAACATCCTAATTGATAAAAAGTATATTTTTATATGACTCTAAAGTAAAATCCAGCTAGTCTTACAGAGACTTTGTTTCTTTGTCTACAAAGAATTTGGCACTGTAGAGAATTTAAAGACTTTATAAATTATAGTCCCTGACTGTAAAAGGGTATAGTTTATTTGAGATGAGAAAGATACATATGAAAAAATGAAAAAAAGTAATTCACCAATGATAATCTGACTGAAGTGTAGGAGCTATTTTTCTCATACTTTTGTGCTTAGCTATTATAAAAGTAGCATATCCATAATCATATGCTAACTACTTCTGTGCAACAGGAATAATATTCTCATCTTAATAGACTATAATGTATATACTCAGTGAAAGTGGACACTTTTTCAGACAATTTCTTAAATGTCAGCACATACATATGCACCTAAGACAATAATATATTATCTAATGTTTTCATTGTAGCTATATTCCACTTTCAGGGCCCAAATTAATGAGACAGTTATTATCCTTTTCACAGAAAACCACATAATAAGTACAAAGAGGGTAAATGAAGACTGTTTCTAGAAACGGTTTTGCCAGGTAAGCAGTGCAAAGTCAGCCATCCAAGGCAACACGTTAGTTGCAATGTCAGTAACTACTGTGAATGGCAGATGTAAGCACTCTTTTGATCTCTTAAAAATGCCTGTTAGAGGCTGAAGACTTGAAAACTGACTGATAAACTCTATGTATTTTGTCTCCAATAAAATGATTAAAAATTTTTATGTAAAGGATGTGGAAAAATTTAAAATCCAGTTATGAAGTCTGTGAACTTTTCTTTAGGAAGATAACAAGCTTGGAGAGGAAGAATGGTTGATCTGTGTTTTTGCCTTACTGCCGTTGTTTTTAGTACAGAAAAGCATGTTTTTTAAAAACAGGGTGGAATGAATGATTATTATCAGTCTTCCCTAATATCATCGCAGCCAAGATATCAATATTTCCTGGATGTCGAGATTATGAGATCATAATTTTATTTATTTTAATTAAACTCCACTTGCTTCCCACACAATGTGTGGTGACTAACAAGGAAAATATGTACAATATTTGTAAATGCAGGGATGTTAGACTAAATTGAGAGTTCAAAATTATAATGAATAAGAGGATTTTATTTTTGTGACAATGAATATTATAAAGGAAAAGGTTAATATAAAAAATCATGATTAGAAAGACTATAAACATTCACACCAAGCACTGTGACACAGATCCAGATATGGTTCCAAGAATGTGGGAAAAGAATCAAAATGGAAAATGGGCTTAAAGTACCCCTGAAGAAATACTGTTGCCTGTGTGAGTTTAAGTGGTATTGCTGATGTGTTCACAACACTTTGATAGCAATTATGGCAACAAACTTTATACACAAATAGTTCATATTTACTAAAATTGCTGTAAAAGTTTGTTTAACATTTTACCAGATCTCAGTGGGTTTAGGGTTCAGTTTCTCACTTATGAACTACTGATTTAGTGACAGTGAACTCTGCATGAGTTTTGATGGTAATTACAAATAATACTTGCAAATTGGCACTGAATTGGTGAAAAACTCTGGTAATGCAATAGGAAAATTGCCTATTCAAATTATTTTTAAATTAAATGTTATTGCAGAAGAGAGGAATCAGATACAGAGATACCTCAGTTCATAAACTTAATTTGTTCTATGATTTTGGGAAAGACAGACACTCCTGTTTGTGTGAGAAAGATGGACGTGCTTGTCACCAATGCAGAATTTGCAAACAAAAACAAAAGTTTGCCAAGTGCTTCCATTGGTAAACCAAACTCTGCAAACAAAAAGCATTTGTGAACTGAGGCACCCCTGTACATGAAATTAATTCCTCGGGACAAGAACTGACCTCAAAACTAAAACATAGAGAAATGAAGTTTTACTTTATCCATCTTGTGTTTATTACTTTTGTAAAAAAAAAAAAAAGTCGTATTTTTGTTTTAGAGCTTTTCTGCTCTTTTCTTACATTACTTTGAGAAGCTTAAGACTGCAGTTTGATGAATGTTTATGACTTTCCAGCAGGGACAATTTTACATATTAAAATGTCAATTGTGAATTATACTTTCAGGAAAACTACACTTTCAGGTAACTATTTACGATCATAGAGCACTCTTAGAATTCTGGTATTCAGTTTACGCAGCACGAGTGTATTTTGTGAGATCTTTCATGATGTATCCTCGGACCACACTGGGGAATTATCCAGACTCAAAGGTATGTGGCATTTTTTTCCTGGAAATGTGCAGAACTTGAAGTACTATCTTAATACAAAAACTAAATTAGTAGCAAAGAAAATATTTTTCAAATTAAACACTGATATCATTAAAAACTCTTTAAGTTCTCTTAAGAGTATCTTCCATTTATGAAATAAAGACAAATTTGACCCTGAAGACAGCAGCTCACAGAAAACAAGCACAAAGAAGAAAAAAAAAAAAGATGCTGTTATGCTCCAGAAATAACTGATAGTGTAGGTTACCAGAAGATATCCTTAAAGTGTGAAGGTCACAAACCAATAGCTTCCACAGAGAAGGAGCAAATATCGTCCCATTTCTCCTCCTGTGTGCAAGAATCTGTATGTGCGTGAGTGTGGATATGCGTGTGAGGTGAGGGCCAGTGAATGTAAGCCCTCAGAAAGTAAAATACTTTATTTTTAATTTCTGTGCTGTAACTTGTCAAGTTTATTCTTGTTTGGGGTTATTCTGCAGGAGAACACAAAAGGGTCACTACAAACTACTTGGTCCTCAAAGCCAGAACTAACAATGTAGGTGGAAAATATAACTTGAATATACTTAAGAGAGTGACCAGGTGTTTCTCTTCTATTTCTTATTACTCTGAATAAGTTGAATAGTGATGAAATGAAAGCACATGAACATCATTTTTATAGCAGAGAAGAAAAGCAGATACAGTTAGATTTTGTACACTGTGGATGTAATAAACCCATTGGATTGCAAAAAGCAGTTGGAATAAAATGTCTCTTTCATACTTGTGCAACTCTGAAACTTAAAAAGTTAATGCTTTTCCTTTGCTAGTTCCATTTCTTAGCATCTAGTAGTCTCAAAGCAACTCTTCTGAAATCAGCAATTCAACAGATTTTCTATAGCTTCTTCAGGTATCCCTGGGTGGAATGGAGAATTCTCATCTCGTAGTCAAAATAATCACCATAACATTTTCCACTTATTCATATCCAACCATCAATATTTCATGTTTTCTATATGCTTTCATTCATCTTTCAAATAACTCTTATATTATAGATGATAATCCCACATGCAGCTATAGAAATTGAGGCACATCGTGGTTTCTAAACTATGATATAAATACAGGGATATAACTGGAGAAAGAACATTTAAATGAAAGACCAAGAGGGCTTGTGTAAGGTTTTCCCCACAAAACCTCATGCACTCATAGGTGGGACTTCTGGGAGGTTGGTTAGACCATGAGTGTGTGATACTGGGTTATGGATGTGCTAACTGAATTACTCCATTGATTGTTTTATCATAGTTCAAAGTATGGACAATGGAAAGGCCCACCTTTGCGAATGGGTGGCACCAACTAATAAGCTTGTAGTCTGAATGGAATAAAAAGAAAAAGCAGAATCACAGCTTCTTACCTGCCACATCATAGACTGCTTCCCCTCTGCCATGGCCTATCCTGTACTGATCTGCCTTGGAGCCAGCCAACTACAGACTGAAACCTCTACAATGAGATGAGGTGTAATAAACCTTTCCTTCTTTAACTAGTCGTGGTCTGGTATTTTGTCCCAGCAAGAGAAAGTAACTAAGATAACCTGTCCATCTTCCTGTAAAATTCCCCATATTAATCTTGATATGCAGCATACACAAACCTTTATTAAAATCATTTATACCATTATCTTATAAATCTCTTTAAAAATAAGGATAATAATTTCTAATTACTATTTTGTACTCAGTATCACCCTTGTTTAACAAGTTTAGAATACTGGTTTCTACACTACCCTGACGTAGCATCAGAAGATTCATCATGACCAGGCACATTATAAAACACACAGCATAACAATCATACCATTGTTTACATACCAAGGAAATAAAACTCATTTACAAAGCAAAATCAAGCCTCAGAGGTTATCTTCAGTCACACAACTTTAGTAAGTGGTACAGTTGAATCTACTTTAGTCAGCCCTTTTCCCTCAACTTCTCATGGCCTCTATGACTGCACCCTGATTTACAGAGCATGCTCTTTCCAGTACCCTCCTTCTGACAGAAAGAGAATATCTACTTCTCTTTCAATGAAAAGTAGTAGAAATTCCCTACTCTGACTTTTTCCTAGACATCATTAGCTACTTTCGTGCAATTCTAAATCTGGAAACAAGGCACAATCATTTTAGCCTTTGAGAACTTTATATATGTGTACACACACATGCATACACACACACCAAAGTGCAAATTCAAATACAGAGAAATTTCCAATTTCAGACACATAGGGTTGGACC